TCTGAGTAATGGACTGACTAAGGAAGGTCCTGGAAAAAAGGTCCTATCTCCTGTCTCACAGCATAAAGCTGGAAGCTGGGATGGGGATGGGGGGGGTGCAGCAAACTACTATTAGGCCTCAATACTGGACACACCATTCAGCACGTTGTCTGTTCAGATTGGTTTTAGTTTTTTGGTTTTTTTGTCTCTTTTTCTGTAACAAAGGAGGGTCCGACAGGGAGGAAGAGGGAGGAAAGGAGAGACTTAGACGCCAAAGACATCAAGAAAATCATGACAAAAAAATACTACAGCAAAAACCCAGAGAGCTTAATGAAGTTTATGCAGATTCTGTTATTGTCAGATTCACTTCACTTCCAAAAGAGTAAAAAATCAACATCACAGGTCAGAAATGAGGTAATGAAGACTGGACTGATAACGCGTGGGGAGAGTGTGTAGAATACGGGGGAGGCGCCCATCTAGCACGGCACCAGCGAGAGACCATAAAGGACGTCTACGCCGATCAGGCCCAGAGAAGTGAAGGGGCAAAGCCAGGACTTTAAAAGCCCAGGCCCTCTGATCACAAAAGTCCATCATTCTACATAAATGCTTCCCTTCCTTAGCACACAGCCTAGACAGGGGACAGAGCTGGGTCTACTCCCCCTTTCTTCTCCAGCTCACTCCCCCATTCACCTCATCTCTCCCTTCTCTCTCTCTCTCTTTCTCTCTCTCTCTCTCTCTCTCACACACACACACACACACACAGAGTAAGTTATAAAGCTTCTGTAAGATTCCACATTTCCCTAAGCGAAGGAACATCTATCTCTGAACTTTATCTTCTAATCGGCCCTAAAAACTGCTCATCCCCTGCTCCTGTAGCAACTGTCTGGCAAAGCAAACTGAAATTAGCCTAAACCTTCCTAGAATATCCTCCTTCAGACCAAAATACACTGGTTCAGCCGGGGGTTACTGATAATAAAACAATAGTCTTATGTGCAATCAATTCATTTCTTTTTCCTGTCTACCAGAAATGAACTCGGAAGCCAACCAAAATGAGTTGTCCTGTGATTGTCCCCAAACAATCCACGGCGCAGGCGAAGGGAAAGCATTTTCCCCAGAAGTCTATGTGGATAAGTGCGTGTAGATGGACCACACCACGGAGGGGGCCCAAAGCTCAGCTTATCCTGCTACTGGAATAACATTGGAATTGGGCCTGGTGACCCCACAGGGTCCGTGAGAGCAGCCAGGCATCCTGTCCTCTCCTTTTCACCCTGACAACATACCACCCCCGCAAAAAATAAAAATAAATACAAACATAAAAATCCAGCATGGTTTGTAACTGAGTTTAAGCAATTGGTTTGAAATGATCTGGTGAGAGTTATAGACCCAATAAATATAAGACTTGCATTTTGAGATTGTCCAGGCCAATGAGTATTTATAAACTGCCTACTAAGTGCTGGGCCACAGGGAAAATAGTCAAGAGGTTAATGCTGTGCTGGGGAGATACGACCTGTAAAGAGATAATATGAGGAGGGGGCAGATTGGCAAAGACTTCCTGTAAGAGGTGGCTCCAGGGCTGAGTCTTGAAGAAGGGCAAAGATCTATTCTGGGGGACAGCCAGTATAAAGTCATAGAGGCAAGAGATGGAAACCCAAGGTTGGGGAATAAATAGCAAACAGGCCAGTTTGCTTGGAATGTAGCATGTATAGAGAGGAAATAAGCTTGGAGAGTAAAACCAGAACCAGATTTGATCCTGGAAGCAATAGGCAGTGAGGGGACTAAGGTCAGAGCTATGCTTTGGGAAGATTACTTTTTAAAATTAATTAATTTATTTTTAGTTTTGAACATTCACTTCCGTAAGCTTTTGAGTTTTAAATTTTCTCCACCTCCCTCCCCTCATTCCTTCCCAAGATAGCATGCAATCTGATGTAGGTTCTACATATACATTCCTATTAAACATATTTTCACATTAGAAATGTAAGCATGAATTAGAACCAACAGGAGGAAGCAGAAGAAAGAGGAAACAAAACAAAGCAGAAGGAAAAAAAAGAGTAAATAGGATGCTTCGATCTGCGTTCAAACTCCATAGTTCTTTCTCTGGATGTGGATACCATTTTCCATCAAGAGACTTTTGGAGATGTCTTAGATCCTTGCATCGCTGAGAAGGGCTAAGTCTATCAAAGTTAGTCACCCCACAGTGTGGCTGTTACTGTGTACAACATTCTCCTGGTTCTGCTCACTTTACTCAGCATCAGACCACACCAGTCTTTCCAGGTTTTTCTGAAGTTTGTCTGCTCATCATTTCTTCTAGCACAATAGTATTCTATTACATTCATATACCACAACTTATTCAGCCATTCACCAGTTGATGGGCATCCTCTCAATTTCCAATTCTTTGCCACCACAGAAAGAGCTGCTGTAAATACTTTTGTACATGTGGGTCCTTTTCCCATTTATATAATCTCTCTGGGATGCGGCACCAGAAGTGCTATTGCTGGGTCAAAGGGTATGCACATTTTTATAGCCCTTTGGGCATAGTTCCAAATTGCTCTCCAAAACGGTTGGATCATTTCACAACTCCATCAACAATGCATTAGTGTTCTAATTTTCCCACATCTTCTCCAACATTTATCATTTTCCTGTTGGCCAATCTGATAGGTGTGATGTGGTACCTCAGGCTTGTTTTGATTTGCATTTCTCTAATCAATAGTGATTTAGAGCATTTTTTCATATGACAATAGGATGGCTTTAATTTCTTCATCTGAAAACCGCCTCTTCATATCCTCTGACCATGACGTATATTCTTATAAATTTGACTTAGTTCTCTATACATTTCACAATGAGGCCCTTATCAGAGGTACTGGTTGTAAAAATTCTCTCCCAGTTTTCTGCTTCCATCCTAATCTTATTTTGGCAAGCATGTACTGGATGAATTAGAGAGAGGAGAAACTAGAACTTGGGAGTCCACTTAGGAGGCTGCTGCAGTTAGCCCAGGAGAGACATGATGGAACTCTAGATAAAGATGGTGGAAGGGCGGAAAGGCATCTGGATTATCTAGTGTCACCCTTCATTTTTAGAGGTGAAGAAGATAAGACCTAGAGAAATGAAGGCACTAGGCCGAAGTCACACAGGTAGATAGTAAGCCACAGAGCCAAGGTTCCAAGCCAGGGTCTTTGATCCCATTTATTGATTTATCCATGGGATTGCAACAGTTGAACTTAGAACCCATGGCTAAGTCTTGTATAGCCATTGCCATTTCTTGGTTTCCTCTCTCTTTTATTTTTCCTTCTTATTCAGCTTCCAAGATTCTGAACCCTAAAACCCCAAATCCAGACTCTACATCTCGCGGCAAGTCCCCACAGGCCCAAACCCAACCATCGGCCACTCAAAGTCACTCAGAGTTCACGGAGCTGAAAAGCCACCAGCAGATCACTCCCATCTCTACCCACAATCCCCTCAATTGTTTGCAAACATAGTCACATTTTAAACTAATAGCTCCAACAGCTGAGCATGAGTCCAACAGCCAGAATGACGTTTTCCCTCAAGTTTAAAGCCCTCTCTGATCTGGCTCCTCTCTTCATTTCTTAGCAATCTGCTTCATGCAACCTCTAGCCAGGCAAAGCGAATCATCCACCATTCCCTGAGCGGGGCCTTCCACCTCTCATAAGCATCCCCTCTACTTCTGGGATGCACTTCTTCCTCACTTCTGCCTAAAAGTATCATTATCTGCCTTTAGGTTCAACTCAGGGACCACTTCATCAAGCTCTTCCAGATTGCCTCCAATTGTTAGTGAGCTTACACTTTCTTTAAAAGAAAAACAGAAATCATGGAGGATTTTTTTAATTTAAAATTACTTATTTACTTTTAAAATTTTTATTAAATTTTGAGGTCAAAATTGTCTCTCTCCTTCCTGACTCTCCCTTACTCATTAAGAAGGCAAGAAATATGCTATCAACTATACATGCAAATTTGTTCACCCTCGTTAATCAACTTTGCAGTAATTTACCTGCATACACGTCACCCCACCAGCAGAATGGGGGCCCTTTGAGGACAGCAACTGCTTTATTTTTGTCATGTATTTAGGTCCTGCACTGTAGAGAGCATCAGGCCTGGAGTCAGGAAGACCTGAGCTCAAATCTGGTCTCAGACACTTACTACCTGTGTGAACCTGGGCAAGTCCCTTAACCCTTTTTACCTCAGTTTCCTCATCTGTAAAATTAGCTGGAGAAGGAAATGAGAAAGCACTTTAGAATCTTTGCCTAGGAAATCCCAAATGGGATCACAGAGAGTCAGACATGACTGAAACAACATGGCAGCAGTAATAAAATGTTGCTGAGTTCAACTGAATTAAACTGACCTCCTAGAATCGGAAAGGGAGGCAGCAAGCACTGGATTTGGAGTTCAGGACCTGGGTTCGAATCCCAGCCCTGACATGTATTACCTAGCTGTGACTGTGGGAAAGTCACTTTCTATCTCCGGGTCTGAGTCTCTTCTTTTGGAAAATGAGGGGTTAAGACTATACATCATCTACAATTTCTTTCAGTTCTAAATTATAATGATATAATCCCCCAGAGCATTCACTTACCTGAAAATCACTATGTTTACTAAATGGTGGTGCTAGTTTCAGATTTCCAAGAGATCCTTCTCAGAAATATCTTCTTTTTATCCTTATTTTTGAAATACACGTTTTCACTCTTTTTTCTAAATGTTTTCATTTATCTTGCCAAAATTTATGCTGATATCTTTTGTTTCTACATCATGTCCATTTCCCAATAAATCTGTTCCTCTATTTTATTCTAAGACAGTGCGTTACAAGGGAAAATCAGAACTCTTTCGACATTAAGCAGGAACGAACGAAATGCCCACATCAGGCAGGGCTAGAATTAGAGATTCCGGTATCAAGACACCCCATTTTAGGAGAGGGAGCCTCCCCAGAGTCAGAGCTCCAGGAAGGAACGGAGGGACAGGAGTGTCTCTGCCAGGGAAGAGCAGTGCTAGGGGAGCCTAAAGGCTGGGGCACTCACCTTACATCCCTCACAAGCGCTGACGCCATAGTGATAGCCTGACGACTTGTCCTGGCATACGAAACAGGGCTTGTAAACACGAGGAGGGGGGAGTGGAGAAGGGGGGCTGGGGACGAGCTCCTCAGAACTGGTGCTTTGTGTTTCGATAGCTGCAAAAGAAGTTTAAAAAAACATCTTTAGTCCAGTTCGTCAATAACACATGCTTCACTGCTGCTAATTTTATCAAACGTTTTTATACGCTGGGGCCAGAAAGAGGTTGTGATGAACAGCGATGTTCAAGGTCTCTATAAGGACCCTTCTGCAGCACCTGGCTCAGTGTCATATACACCTTAGTTACTAACTCCTCTGAGCAGCTGTTTCTCTTTTGAGTTTATTAATTATTTAACTCTTATTTATTTACCGCTTATGTCTTTCATTTTTATATTATTTTCAGAGAGATCATCCTCCTTCCCTTGAAGATTTATAAATTATTTTTTAATTAACATTTATTTTCCCTCACCTGAAAAAAAAAAGAGAGAGAGGCAATCTTCCCTTGTAACAACAAAGAAAAGTCAAACAAAAATAGCCGTCCCGTGACCACCTCGGACAATACACACAACCTCCTGACTCTCTGCCTAGACAATGGGGGGAGGCTTCATTATCCATTCCCTGGTACCATCACTGTTTGATCAGTTACCCAAAGTCTCACCTGAGCCTCAATCCCTTCATCTCTACATTACGGATTACAATCATTTGTGTTTATAACAATACTTATTGTTTAAAATTAAATTTTGAAAATTAAAATGTTGTTTAAAAGTGAGCTTAAATGAACAATAATTTGAGCTTGAGTCTTCATGTATCCTCTAAGTGCCACAAACGACTCCACAGGACTTATTGACTTAAGTCAGAGATGGGCCATGGTCTGTGCTGGGGAAAGGAATTCCCACACCAGGAGTTCTCCTGCTAATAAACTCACAGATCCTTCCTTTATTCATGTGCGTAGCATTTTAAGGTCTGCAAAACACTTCCCTCATACCCACCCTGTGCGGGACAGAAAAATGCAGGATGAGAGTTAGAGCTCCATTCTCTATCAGCGAGAGAGTATTATCTACCCCCATTCTGCAGAGGATAAAAATGAGGCCCTGAGAAGTTGAGTGTCTCTGTCAAGGTCATACAGAGTCTGGGAATCAGGCCCAGGTCTCTTGACTCCCCATTGGCCTCGTCATACTAAAATGAGTTAGTATATGTAAAAGTGTAAGCTTTAAGAGAAAGTGAAAGTTATAAAACTCCAACGTCCAAACAAAAGTCAAGGGTTATCATTTATAATGACCCGATATTTGCAGTGGACATTTCATCAGTTTAGGGTTTGCAAAGTACTTGACATCACTTATCTGAGTGGATTCTCCCAAGAGCCCTGTTGGGCAGGAACGACGAATATCTTTGTTTTACAAGGGAGTAAACTGAGGCTGAGGAAGTAAAAGTGACTTGCTCTGGATTACACGGCTACTAAGTGTCAGAAGTGGGATTTGAACCCAGGTCTTCATGACTCCATCCTCTACACTACCCTACGCCCCGCTTGGGAGCCTGTGCTTCTGTCTCTGTTAGTTTCTTCAGAAGACTTTTAGTCAGCCTACAATTGTGCTCTGAGCATGGGCAAAGCAGACACTGTTTTCTTTTTTTTCTTCTTTAACTGAACTATTATTTCTTTGGAGGTACAAGGAGGGAGTGCAATGAGGTCCCAGGGTCTACCAGACTCAGAAAATGCCCCTCATCAACGAGTCTCCACTCTTGCCTCCCCAGAGCAGATCATCTCCAGTCCTTTGCTCTTTCTGTGACCCTTCGGCTTGGCTACCAGGCTTCCCACATGGCACACTCTGGTTCAGCAAATGCAATGGGGTTCCAGGTTTAGTCCCACCACTGAGGGCTTTCATCCGTGTTCCTCCAGCTGTGGAACGGGAACACGGCTAGAGGTGGCTTCCACTGACTGTTAGGGGAGGGGCTGCAGTTAGGATTGAGCTCCAAGGCCCTCCTATTTCTTTTCAGGAGGGCCTAAACCCATCCCCCTACCCTGATGGGTAACTAGGATGGGTCTGCTCCACAGAAGCTTTAGCTCAGAAAAGGACATTCAGGGGGCTCCCATAGCACTCCTGGAGAGCACACCCCTCACTCCAGCTTCTCTCTGCCCTACCCCCCCATCCCCACCCCCACCTCTGTCCCCCTCTAAGAGCAGGGGCACTGACCTCATCCTGGAGTATCCCATCTCCCACCCTCCAGAAGTAGCCAGCCTGCCAGAAACAGAAATACCCTTCAGTGTCCCCTCCTACAGAACATCCCCGCCCCCCCAACTCCTCACACGACACTTGTCCCAGGTCTATAAAGTCTCTGCTTATGCCATTATGGTTTTTTCCTATGTTTCCTTATTTGTTTCTTTAACTGAGATGCAAGCCAAGAGATGGGATGGGGTAGCAAATAGAGGCCCACTAAGACCTGGGTTCAAATCCTGCCTTTGACAGATAACAGCTGTGTGACCTTGGACAAGTCATTCAGCCACTCTGTGGCCTAGGAAACTTTCTAAGATTATAAATGGCAAATAATCAGCATTGGCGGAGGGGCTTTCTACACCAGAAGTTCCCTCTACTGAAGAAATCACAGTTGCAGACAGTTCGCTCCCATCCCCCTCCCCAAAAAGAGCCAATGTGATCTTCCATTTTCCTTCTTTTCCCCTCTTCTTACCAGCCCTGGCTGAACCATCTGCTGCCTCTGCTTGACAGTGCGCTAGGCTAGGGAAGATCGCGAAAATGCCGGATGATAAAATTAGACGCCGGGTAGCTCTTCCAATCTGACCATTTGCTCACTTGAAAACATAATTGACTCAGAAGGAGAAACATTTTATTGCCTTTCTCTGTTTGGGAAAAATGCCATTTTTATGATGGACAACATTGCCGCTGTTAGTCATTTCACAATTCAGTCTGTTTCAGTGGGAAATCCAGAGGGGAAGAGGGCTGAATGTGGGGTGAAATCCTGACTTGGCTTCAAATCCCAAACCTGAGCAAGTAAGTTAATCTCTCTGGCCTTCAAATTCCTAACCTGTAAAATTAAGAGCTTGGATGGTACTTCTGAATTAATCTTCCCTCTTAGATCTCCTATCTGACGAACAACTGAGTGTCAGTATTTAGTAAATAGTAGAGTCTGGTGTAAACTGATTATAAAAGCACAGGCTTTGCCGGATAAATAAACTTCAATAATCTATTGTTAGGATGGAAATCCCTCCTGAATAGTCAGTCATTTATTCATTCATCAAACACGTGAGCACTAAGTATCTGCCCAGCTGTTGCCTGCTATGGATATAAGCAAGTAAACTAGTAACAAGTGGCCTTTACGTAAGTCAAGTCAACATTGATTTATTAAGCATCAGCCACCCTGCCAAGTGCTGGGATATGAAGAAATGCAAAAATGATCCCCGCCTTCATGAAACTCAAAATCTAGGGCGGGAGCTGAACCACTCTGTGCAAACAAGACACACACAGAATCAAGTGGACATCCCCTGGGAGGAGAGGGGAGAGCATAACAGGAGACTGGGAAAGGTGCAGCAGTAACGTTTGGAAAGTGCTCCCTTGAGCTTCCTTGTAAGGGGACACTAGGAATAATAATATCCCCATTTTAGAGATGAGGAAACTGAGACCGAGTAAAGGTAAGCGTCACACAGGCAAGAAGTGCCTGAGACAGGTTTTAAATCCAGGTCTAGCCTGCTTCCAAGTCGAACACTGTCCACCACAATCTAGTGTCTAGACCACCCTGCCTACCAAGTGGTGACCACTACATAGAGAATTCGTAAGCAGCCCCTCATTAGTTACTTAGAAGATAATGACACCACCACCGATTATGGCTACTCTGGCTTCCATATTCATTCTCATTTTTCTGACAGAGCTAAAACATTTTTATTGCTATTGTTTCTAGCACATACCAGAACCACTGGAAATCTGTCTGATTTGAGTGCAAATCCTGCGTCAGACACTTCCCAGCTACATGACCCTGGGCCGTCACTCACCCCCCTCAATCTCAGTTTCTTCATCTGTAAATGGAGATAATAACAGCACCCACTTCCCAGAGTTGATGTGAAGAGCAAACAAGATGCTGTGTGTAAAAACACTTTGCAAATCTTAATATAAATGCAAACCACTGCTAATTTTTTTGCTACTGCATAGGATTGGTTTTTTCTATATTAGCTTAAAAAATGTCATGAAAAATCTGATGCAGGAATTTTGATGATGTGGTTTGTCAGGAAAACCCTAAAGTTCTCTTAAGGTATAATTCTAGAGTCAAGCCGATGGTCTGAATTTTAAAGTCTGGTTCTTGATTGTCATTAAGATGACGTAGGAAGCAAAGACAGGCTATAGCTTTTCTCCCTTCAAAGAAAAGGGAGAAAAATTGTAGAATCTCCAAGGGTTTGGAAGGGTTCTCAAAAGAAATAGGCTCCCTGTGACTCAGTTTCCTTATCTGTAAAAGGAGAGGAATGAATGAACAAAAAAAATCAAACACCCAACAAATATTCATTAAGTGAATTCTATGAGTCAAGAGTAGTCCTGGGTCTGAGAAGGTCGTTCCAGGCAGGGCAGATTCCAGAAAGGTCTAGAAGTCTGCAGGGGCAGCAGTGGGTCTGATAGCAGGGCCTCGGGCTAAGCAAGATGGCCTCTAGCTCCCAACATCATTATTAAGGCACAAGGTCTATCCTATAGCCAAAGCACAAATGCCACCCCCATCCCCCTGACTGAGGGTTCTAGGATCATAGTTCTGGGGCTAGAACAATAATAATTAGCATTTCTACTAAGTTTCAAGTTTTGCAGAGAGTTTTATACACGATCTCATTTGCTTCTCACAAATAATCCATTAAAGTAGGTGCTATTATTATACCCATTTTGTAGTCATTCATTATGCATTAAGTTTAGTGACAGGCATTTTTATAGATGAGAAAATTGAAGCACATAGAGGCTCCTAGACAGAGGTTAAGTGACTTGCCCAGGATCACACAGTTAGCAAATGTCTGAGGTCAAATTTGAACTCGGGTCTTCCTGACTTCAGGCCCAGCACTCTATCTACAGCGCCACCTAGCTGCCTCTTTTCCACTGTACCATGGGCCAAATGACTCCTGATTAACAAGCAAGAAATATAT